CTATGTTGATCCCTCATATGATGAAGTCATATGATAGTGGGACTGTTAAGAGAGTGCAGTACAATGGCAGAAAAATGTTATGTGGAAAGATAGTGGACTTGACTAAAGTAGCATCTAGATCAGACTTTCTTAGCCTCTTGTTCTCCAAACGCGTGACAGCAATTTCTTTATAACCAATAAGTCTGGCCGAAGAAAACTGATCTTTTCCCTCAAGTACCACCTAATTGTAAAACGTCACTGCTACTTTGTCTTTGCTTCCTATTGGAAAAAGAATGTCTACAAGAGGAAAATGAACAAGAACAAGCCATTTGGAGAACTCAAGATTTGACATGACAGAAAAAGTTAGCAGTCTTTAAAATCTCAACTTACATTCTTAACATTCTCTTATCCAAGCACATGAAATGTTGGGTCCCTTTCTAGTATGGCTTTAATAAAGAACAATAAAAAGGCCAGGAGACACTGGATGGAATAAAGCAGGACAGGCCAACTAGTTGAGAAAAGAAGAACAAGTTAAATAATACTTTAACTATTTTAATACATGTTAATATGTGCTTAGGACACTTTAAAGCTTCTTTGAGGCTTGAATTCTGCTCTTCTGTTTCTAGGCCTTTTGACCTATAAGTACAATTGATCCTTCTTTATAACTAAAGCAGGCCACTTTTAGGCCCGCGAGATCTTGGTTTTGGCTGTATTATATACCTTCTGATAGGTGAGTGCCTGGGACTTGATTGATTTCTTAGAATACTTAGAAGTGACCTTTTTTGCAAGGACTGTATGAAAACTATATTAAGCTGTGGAAAATCATTTCTGAAACAAATTAATTATCTAACACTATGGATTAACTCTTTAGTAGTGATCACCTTGCTCTATGGATAAGATAAAAGGGATTAAGCAGTTACCTTTCTGCTTAAAGCAACATCCATCTCATTTGGCTGGCTGAATTATGTAACTGCTGCACACAGCTATAGTAATTAAATAATAACATATATGGCCTATGCAGGGTATCTCATACACTTCTTTGATCACTGCAATCACTGAACACAATAAAAAGACATTCAGGATTCAGAGTGGACAATGTTTTTGAGTTACTGAATTCTTGAGGCCCTCTGGGGTCTTTCCAAAAAAATAATTGCATGTCTTTCCTCTTCACAGAATGATCGCCATGCTAAACATTGACATGAAGCCCTCACTTCCTAAAAGGTGTTTTGTCTCCAGTCTTCCCCTCAATTGACTAAGAATGCCCCCCCCCTCTCTCTCTCTCTCTCTCCATCTCCTTCTCCCTCTCTCTCCCTTATCTGTTTACCTTTGCTTCACCCACCCCATCCTAGACAACTAAGCATATGTTGGAACAAAATATGGGAGTGTAGAGTCTTGTGCTTGGCTCTAAAGCATGTGTATCTGTGTCAAAGAAGGTTGGGAACTTGTAAGTATTAATGAAGGTGTTCCTAGACATATCTCCAGTAGTCATGAATTATGATTTAATCAAATCATACTGTAAGCGTGTTCAAAAAGATGCCAGCTGTCTAGTGGAGTAAGATGTCCAAAGGTTCAATGAAGGGTGCCTAAAACAGGTCTTTGGTTCAGGATGCATTCAGTCACTGCAGCTTTCTACCCATCTCAAGGAATTAGTCCTCTGATTCGTTCTGGTTAAAATCACCACATTCGGTATATGGGAAAGAAGTGACTACAGTTCCCATCAATAATTTGGAAGGCCAAAGAAGGAGAAGTTCAAAGGATATCTAAACAATGTACATCTATTGGATATCTGCCCAACTTCAGATGCTACTTCTGAAAAAGAATGAATCTAGGGCAGCAACCAAAGTCTGCCTTGTTGGTGGAATAATATAATCTTACAGGAGAAATTCCTCTTATTCATCCCATCGTCCCAAATCTACTCTAAAGCAATCCAGGGCCGATGTAACGATTGCATGATTAGGATTTATATAGAGGAGAGCCAAGGACATCTTACTGCTGAAATCCCCCATGAGAAGAATATATGAATCGGTGTTGCAGTAAAGATCCACTATACTATTTCAGTTCATTCTTGGCTTCATGACAATGGCACAAAGAAGGGGGAAAAGGAAATGGAAGAGTGGTTCTGTATGCTGTTCTAGCCAAACAAAGCTATTGTATAAGCTAGAGATGTATGAAACTGAAATATGAAGGCAATTCAATCAAAATATCATTTCAATTAATTTTGCTGAACAGATTCAACACATCAGTTTGAACGGAGTGCCTTTCATATAGTTTCAGAATTCAGTGGAAGGTAGGACATGTACCCAAGCATCCAGATTATTAAGCCGCATTGATTGTGTCAATCCCATCACAAATCTGAACCAGGTCAAATTGATTCCTAAAATCAAGTTGCAGATTTACATCAAATGAATTAGCTGATTTGCACAGCCGTAATATATGCACAGCAAAGCAAGAAGCATTTATCACCTATTCATTCATTCCAAAATGTCTTTTGATTCTGATGCCCTCAAATAAAAAAAAAAAAAAGCAAAAGTGTTACTAAATTATAAATATTTTTAAAATCCATAGGAATGAAATATAGCTTGAGATGCTGGAAAGATTCCAGAGGTGGTCCAGAGATTTGAGTTGAAGGTCTTCTCCTTTCCTCTTTCCCATACCCCCCCTTTTTTCCCCAGAATGTTCTTTAACTCTTAACGAAATGTAAATTTATGAAGAGAGGAAATTTAACCTTCTCCTATTGTGTTGATGAAATTCTATCAATAGGATGGTTAACCATGTACCTTTTAGAAAATGGCCCATTGAAAACACAACGTAGAATAGCAGGGCTGGAAGGGACCTTAGAGATCTTCTAGTCTGAACCCTGCTCAAGGCAGGAGCTTTATACCATCCCGGTCAAATGTCCACTGTATTTTTGAAAACCTCCAGTGGTGGAACACCTGCAACCCCAGGAGGCAAGCTATTCCAGTGAGTTATTGCTTTCACTGTCAGAACATTTCTCCTTTCTCCTAAGTTGGATCACTCTACCTCCCATGATTTCCTGCCCTCTGGTGCTTTGGAGAATAAGTCAGTCACCAAACTGAGCTTGGGTTCCATAAACATGGTATCTTTTGGCTTTTAAAATACTATGCATTACCACTGTCCACAATGTCAAATGGAGTTTTGTATTTTAAATGAATAAAATATCAGCGTGCCTGTCAAATTGTGATGGATGTTGATTTCAAATGTTACCGTTGATAACGCCATTTGGAAGGGCACAAATGAGAAATAAATAGAAAGTGGTTTTCATTTTCATACATCCCTTTTTTGGGGAGGGGAGCTTCCTATTTAACTAATGGCCTTTTTAGTTCCCTCCCCCCGCTCTTCTTTGCAGCATACAAATCTCTAATTCCAGTGGACACTTTTTATAATTCAAAATACACTTTGGCTCTTTAAAAAGCGAAGTGTTGCAATACACCATTACGTTTTTAACAGTGTTTCATTCAGAATTTTAGCTGTGAACTTTATCTTCCAATCCATAATTGCACATATTGTTTATTAGCATTTGGTTACATCACAGCAATGTTAATTCCTTCCTTAGTTATGTGGCATTTCAATAGATTTTTTTAACACTATTCCTGCAAATAAAGTGGCACAGTTGATTTTCAATTAATAAACAACATTAAAAACAAGTATTTCAATTGTTAAAAGGGAAGTAATGACAGCATTTAGCAATTTCCCCATTTATACACATGTGAAATATCTCTCATCACTAAATTGACATTATTACCAATACCTTTTGACATCTTAGTTTGTATGTGGCAAGGAGTAGATTTTGCATTTGGCAAGGTTGTTACAACGTAGAAAATTGTATATTACTACATTCTGGAGAATATTTTAAATTGGGATAGAGCAATCTAATCTGGAATGGTAGCCTACCCAACTGTGAAGGGTGTGTGATCTCCATGCTTTGCAAAACAGAAGGAAAGAGATAGATGTTTGTATCAACATATTTTAAAATTCCCTCTTCCACAGGATGATGTGTGGTAAAGGATATAGGTTCTATTGATACCTTGCTGTACCCCATGGACCAATTCTTTTTAACCTCATTTAAAAAACGTGTCTAAGGTTTCCAAGAATTTTGATGCCAGATCAGCTGGTCTTGGATATTACTTACGACGACAATAGGAGGGCTACAACTTCAGGTTTCCTGTTCTGAAGTCAGCCTCTCTCCAATCTTATTGAGGAAAATTAGATATCCCCTTTGATCACTGGCACTGTTCCAGAGGTTAAGTTTGTCCATTCTGTTTATAGCTAATCAAAGGAGGTCCATTTGGTTTCAACAGGGCCTACTTTTGCAAAATGGAAGTAGGGTTCTAAAATGAAGAGATAGGGATCCAAAGGCCTTCTTGTGTTTAAATGCTGAAATGTTTCTATATATAAAATAGTGACTTTTAAAACAAATTACTTTTAGCAATGGTCCATTTATTACTTCATCTGCTACTCATACCTGAATTTAGGGGAAAATGTTTGGGTAATTGGACAGAAATCTACACAAGATGCATTCTGAATCCTGTAGAAGCAATAACTTTATACTGACAACTAGACTTTCATGAGTAAGTGGCATCTAATTTGGAATAGAATCCTATCATGGCACCATTTCAGTTTGCACTTTTAAAATTAATTTCAATGAAGATGAATTTTTCTTATAACAATGGCATTCATTGCCTTAGAGAAGGGTTCCTTTCTGAGGGAGAAGGGTTCCTTTCTGAGGATCTAATGGAAATGAATTTTTATGTTATGCTTGTCCCTCATCTTCTTATGCATATGCTTGACAGACTGGACAAGACAAATGCCTCTTTTGTTTGTTTGGCCTGATGTGAATAACACCATTATGTTAGGACCTGCAGTTTGTAAAACCAGAATAGCTGGGGAGACCATCCAACCAAAATATTATTAAGGTTTTTCCTCCTAAAAGTGAACACCCCATTGTCTGTTTGCTCTCTATTCATATAACAAGAACCAAAGTATTTACATCTCAAAAAGTCTTAACATCTGAGATGCTTCTTGCTGGACATATCATTCCAAATCCTGTGCATTTCCTCAGGGGATATCTGATGTACCGTAATAACACGCCGATATCTGCACAGGCTGTAGGCCATCTTCCAGTGATTGAAGCCACTGTTTTGGAAAGGATGGATGCCAAGCTTCCGCAGACAGAGTCCCACATAGACGTCCTCAAGATGAAGGAGTCTAGTATGGAGGGAAGTTTTGTAAATCATCTCTGCTACATCAGCAGAAAAAATATAGCCTGTGCCTGAGCAAAATGGCGGATAGTTGCTGTCAGGATACAAGTCCCTAGGCATGTACCATTTGCTCCGGACATCCCTGATGGGGCCTCCATTGATGACATAGCCAGTAAAGTACCTTCGTCTTGGTTTGGTGTTCGGTTTTAGCAACTTGTAAATAAGGTTGTCCATATTTACAAAAATGTCGCTGTCTGTTTTCATGATATACTTGGCTTTTGAACAAAATGTAGCCACCCACTTCATTCCCATTAATGTTTTCAGGGTCAGGTTATGATATGAGTCAATGAAATCTTCCACAATGATGTCATGAAAAATTTGACTTTCTTGCTCAACCATCTGGTTTAATACAGAGTCTGTGTTTTTCCCCAGAAGAAAAAGAGTGGAAATCTTAATGCCTTTGAAGTTGTTCTCATCTCCCCAGGTCTCCCGGATGGCTTGTCGAGCATCAAACTCTTTGTGTGTTGTGCTGATCAGAATAACCAAAAAGGGAACATTCTTCTCACACTTCTCTGGTTCATTTATGAGAAAATCAAATGAATGAGGGTTTATTGGTCGAGTCCTTATGTTCCCAAAGGAAACATTTTTTCGAGCCATTGCGATGCTGTCGTACGTTTTGTGAACACTGTAAGATGAAGTGTAGGAGGAAGTGGGACGTGTTATGCTTAAGTACCACAAAGCACTTGCCCAACATACAACTGTCAAGACATATAAACACGAGACTTTTGAAGGCATTGTTCCTGAAGTTCTTCTAATCAACAGAATGAACCAATTGTCTTCTTGCCGCTTGCTTCCCTTGGTCTGACAGAGGCAGCATGTTATTTTTCAGATCTTAAAAGTCTGACACAATAACTGTGTGCCACTTGCTCATCGAAATCCATGAAAAGGCTTTAAGAGGGATGTGTTTTCTTGCCCAGTCTAAGGATAGCTTCCATTTCTTGGGCTGAGGTGTTATTTCTGAAAAACATAAATGAAAAAAAGGCGTATTGGTAGTGCTGTTTTATTCTGATAGTCGAATAGCCTACTTGCAAGCTGATGTGAAAGGCTAAATTATAACCATCCCATTTTGTGCAGAACATAGTTAATAAGCAAAGTGATATGAACTTAAGAAATGCAGTTTGTTTAACAACTTTAAGAAATATAATGTTGGTCTCCGATACTTATCCAAATCATGGTAAATAGTTCCAAATCATTCCTCCTATAAGATCTTCAGCAAACCTTAAAATATCCACCCCCAAATTAATATTTAAGTTGGTTTGGTTTGGGGCAAAGTCCTAGCATGATTTAAGTCACGTGAACAGCCATCTTATAAAAGGAATGAGAGAGCACAGAATTGTTGGACCTAATAGATATTTAAGAGCAGTCTTAATCCACTAATCTGACAGTAATTGTAGTTGAATTCCATAGCCTGGGAATAAGATTGCACTGTTAATTATTTAAGGTACTTCTCTGCTGTATTTTCTCAGACAACTCTAAGAAGCTTAAAGGAAAACATATACAGTACTACATACTATAAAGGTCAACAAATAATTTATATTTATAGATGCTTCTATTTACATGCATTCTGTCTAAATCTGTAATAAAGTATTTACTATCACTCTACAAAGAATAATACTTTAGATCTGATGATACTAAGTTTAAAAAGAGAGAAGTTTCACCAAACCTTGCAGGTCTGGATAAATGATAAGCATATATTATTAACAAATTCTAATAATAATAAAAATATTTTTCCTGTTGCAATTAGAGAATATTAAGCAGTGATAAATGTCAGACCTTATAAAATTTATCAAATGAGATTATGATATAGAATTTAGAATACAAAGTTTATTATGCTCATAGACCCAAAACGAAACATCACTATTGCAAGACTGCATAAACAGAGCATTTAGCAGGGCAGAGTTTTACACATAATATAACAAAACATAGTAATATTTAGGGTCACACAATTGCCTTTGTTGTCTAAATGCCAGCATATAAGATTATGAGGGCAGGTGGTAACAGATGTGGAGTCTCCTCATCTAAAAGATGGTTATACATGGCTGCTCCCTTTTGGGGGCTTTTTAGTATTGTCTGCATTCTGTTGATTGTTCTAAAGTAATGAAATTATTGTTTTAGCCCATATTGTCTTTGGCTTGGTGAGACAATGTGCAGTGCTAATAAGATCAACAAAGGGATGATTATTAGATGTTTAGCAGCAATACAGTAGTCCTTGTTTAGTGATTGCAATTGGCATCTAGATCATTAAGTGGTTGCAAAGTGAAAAAAAATCACATGATCACAACTGTATCCATGATTTTACTTCAGCTTTCCATCACTTTACAGCTCAGAAGACATAACCTTAAACAAATGGCAACAAAGGGTTGTGGAATTTGACTCATGAGGAATCCGAATAAAATGGCAAATCTTATAGGCCTTTCTCCCCACTCCCCTCCCTTTGGAATGTTCAACCAGGTGCTGTATGTACGTTCATTTGAGAGAAAGGGATTGCAAGAGAGTAAGCAGGCACTCCATGGAGAATAGACATTGAAGGAAATGCCCTAGACCAGCCTGCGGGCCGGTTGCATCATATGGAGGCCGTGCCCACACCAGCTCCGGCAATGCAAAAAAAGTCACGACATGTTGTGACACGTCACATGACGTGGCGAGTTTGACACCCGTGCCCTAGAATGTCTGCCTAAACTGATTAGAGTATTTGTCAATTTTAGTCAGCAGCTAAGAGCTGGCAGCGTGTTCTAATCAACTAATTAAAGTCCCAGAGCTGAGTTCTGTTAACTTGCAGTTAGCATTGTTTAGGGATGCACTACAGAGATAAGCAGCTCAGGAGGGAGATAGCTTGTTTCGGCAATCTCTCTACTCTGCTGGAGAGGGGGAGAGGGAAAAAAAGGGGGTCAGGCACAGGACAATACCTACTAACTGAATGCAGTGGGGAATATATGTCTAAGAGACTTGGCCCATAGAATTGCCAAGAGTCAGACACAACTAAATGGATACCATTATCATCATTGCTGCAAAGGTTGTAACTGGGCATTGGTCACAAAGTTACTTCTTCATTACTGTTGTAATTGCGAACAGCTGTTTTCTGAGGCAGTTGCTAAACAAGGACTATGTGTAATGAAGAAACTCATCTACCATCCTTAGTTTACATGGGATGGTAAGCTTTATCTTTCTTTCCTAAAAAAAATATTCCCAGTATGTCATAAAGTTGGTTTCTTCCAGATGTCTCTGTAATTCCAAGACAGAATGGTTCATGCCAGGGAATGCTGTCAAACTGTATAGAGGTTGTTAAGTTAAAAAGCTCTTTGGCCTTCAGAGGTTCATGTTGCAACCCAGCGGCATCTCAGAGGATCAATAATCTTTTAGGGTTCTGTTTCATATGAAACAGACACAGAAAACATTCAGAATTCACATTTCTAGTAAAATAAAATGATAGTTGCCATGGGAGGGCCCCTAGACAATAAGGCTGTTCTTTATAGTTGAGGATGCAAAGGTGAAACAAGAGGTGCTTTACTTCACAGAGCTGTGCTGCAATTCTTCAAACACTCTGCATAGAAACAGACCTACTTATATGTCATGTCTTAAAGCCCAGCTTTGTTCGTTATTAACAAAGGTGTTGGTTTAAAATAGGACCCCTTGGTAACAAATCAAAACAAGGAAATTCTAAGAGTTGTAAGAAAAACCTTAAATAATGTTGCTGTTAAGATGATTTTACAGTTTTTGTTTTAAATATGCCTTTACGAATGCTACTTTTCCTTCTCTTTTTATAAGACTTGTGGACTTCAACTCCCAGAATTCCTCAGCCAGACATGCTGGCTGGGGAATTCTGGGAGTTGAAGTCCACAAGTTGTAAAGTTGCCAAGGTTGGGGACCCCTGCTTTAAGTAACACTGCTTTAACCTTTCAGCTGCTGTTGAATTACAACTTTTAGTAGCACCAGCCATCATGGCCAGCTTTAGGAACCTTAGCACCAGTTCAATAACCAGTTCTTGAAAATCACAGGTTTCCCAATCCTGCTTTAATTGGGTTGAAGAAAATACACATAAACACACACATCATGATGATGTAGCCGTTGTTTCAAATGCTGAAATGATGTCTATTTCAGTTATTGATAATTAGGGTTGTTGATAGAAATCTGTAAGAGTCCACCAGCTTTATTAAGGAATTTATATACAACCCTTTAGGATACGTTTTTAAGATATAAAACTCTTAAGAGATAATTAAAATAGTTTATACAATTTTTTTTTAATTTGACTTATTCTGAAAGAAAATATAGTAAAATATATACACCACATACATTTTAGGAATAGCAAGACTGGCAAAAAAGTCATCTGGAAATCAAAATTGGTGGTCAACTCTGTAATAATTGGAGATATATAGACCATATCAGTTTGTTAGCTGACTGTGAAGAAGATTTAGTTGTTATAAAACTAAAAAAATGGACTATGAAAAAGCAGGCTAAAGTGAAATATTAACTAGAGAAAAGTAATGCCAAACTGCACATAAACAGTTGACCGTGGAAAAAGTAGTAGAGAGTATTGTTTTTAATCAACACAAAATATAAACAATGTATTGGAGAAATGTAATAGGAGATTAATCCCAGTGGAAAAAGCTATGTCAAATTTAGATTAGATCAAGATTAGATCATGAGGGATCCAATGCCAACAGATATCACATCAATAGTCTTTTCAGTGGTAAAGGATGACTGTGAAAACTGGGTTCTTTTGAAGAGTGAGGAAGATAAATGGGTATGATTAAATTATGAATTTGGAAACAGACAATGAAGATCATGGACTGGAAGAAGAGGCCATCAACCAATCCTGAACAGAGCAAAGATTGATGAATCACTTGAGGTAATGATCAGCCAGCAGAAATTCACGTTCTTTGGGCCCATGTAAGCTGACTATGGAGTCTAAAACATATTATGACCAGCAAGATTGAAGGAAGAAGAGAAGGAAGATGAAAGGGACAGGATTAAGGAGATTACTGGAATATCCTTGAAACAGCAGCGAGTTATTACTAAAAACAGATCAAGGTGGTGAGCATTTGCCAACCTCATTAGTGAGAGGCCAGCCTGAGTGGGTGGAGCCTAACTGACTTCCCAGCTTAATTGTGAAGAACTAAGCTTTAATGCAGAACAGGTATGGTCCTCTGAATGTAGATGAATGCCAAGATCCAGCATCACTCAGCATTAGCCAGGCTGGCAAGGCACTTGGGAGGTGTAATTAGGAACATCCGAATGCCTGCCTGCTCCCTGCTCCTCTTAATGGCTTTGCAATTGAGATCTGCAGGAGAAAACAATACTGTAGATATAGCATTTAATGAAACTAACCTTTAGCATAAACCTCAAGCAGGAAAGGAGGTATAGCAAGAATAATAAAGAGAAGCACTTTTCATGTTATGTGCTGGGTAGCATTGGTTCTTCGAAGTTTTGAGTGGGAGTCTTCTTCAGGCTTTCCTGGAGAAGGCCAAGAGCAGAACATTGAAGTCTTCTGCATGCAAAATATGTACTTTGCCATTTCTTCACCTTTATACTAAGGTGACCAACTTTTTTACAATGAAAAGGAGGACACAAATAAATTGAAGAAAAAAATATCGTAAATAAAAGAAACATTTTATTCATTGCAACAATAATACAGACAACTTGCATGTGCAAAGTTTGCCAGCCGGGTGTTTTGGCGCGCACAGCAGCAATTCCTATTGGCTTTCGAAAGCCAATAGCGGGAGTAGCACAGCTCATGCAAAAGTTGAAAAAAAAAA